AAAAAAAAAAAGAAAAAAGAAATAGGAAAACCTCAAGTTGGGGTGGTGGTGCATGCCTTTAATCCCAGCACTCAAGAGACAGAGGCAGGTGGATTTCTGTGAAAGCGAAGCCAGCCTGGGATACACAGAGAGTTCCAGGCCAGATATGACTACAGGGAGACTCTGATTCAAAAGGTAAAAAGAAATAAGAAAACCTTCCATTATGTAGATTCTGGGGATCACACTCAGAATGTCATGCTTTACCCACTGAGTTAACCCACTGGCCCAAATAATAGCAACAAATGTTTTTTAAAATATTTTATTTACTATTTTTATTTTTTGTGAATGAATGTATTGCCTGCATATATGCAAGTGTACCCATGACACAAAATTCCCATGGAGGCCAAAGAGGGAGTTGGATCCCCTAGAACTGGAGTTACAGAGCATTGTTAGCTGCCATGTGGATGCTGGGAATCAAACTTGGGTCCTCTGCAAGAACAACCAGTGCTCTTAACTGCTGAACCCCCAACAACAATTATTTTTACATTTATTTACTTGTGTGTATGTGTATACATGTGCATGCGTGCGCGTGTGTGTGTGTGTGTGTGTGTGCCGGCAAAATGGTACATGTATGGAGAAACGGATAGCTACAAGAGGTGATTTTCTCCTTCTATCATGTGGGTCCCAGAGATGAAACTCAGGTCATCAGACTTAGTGGTAAGTGCTCTTGTTTTGTTTATCTGCCAACGTGTATACACACTCCCTCTGTTTAAACATTTTTGTGTTCTGTTTTTGTGAATCAGGGTCTCAGGTAGCCCAGGCTGGTCTTGGAAAAAAAACAAAAACAAGATTTTATATATACATGCACACACATATATATACATTTGTACCTTACTCTTCTTTCTTTTCTTTTCTTTTTTGGTCTTTTTGATACAGGGTCTCCCTGTAGCTCCAGCTGGCCTGGAACTCACTATGTAGATCAGGCTGGCCTCAAACTCACAGAGATCTGCCTACCCCTGCCTTCCAAGTGCTGGGATTAAAGGTGTGTGCCACCATGCCCGACGTACCTTACTCTTCTTTGTTTTTCAATATAATATTTTCAGTAATTCTTTGAGAATCCCATACATGCATACAATATTATTTTGATCATATTAACCCTTCCATCCCAGGCACATCCCCGCCTTGTTTATCTTTTGAGACAGGATCTCAGCCAGGCTAGTCTCAACTCTCAAATGTGCTGTAATAGCTGAAGATAATCTTGAGTTCTTTTTTTTTTTTTTTTTTTGATCTTTTTGAGACAGAGTCTCCCTGTAGTGGGGCTGACCTGGAACTCACTATGTAGATTAGGCCGATCTTGAACTCACAGAGATCCACCTGACTCTGCCTCCGAGTGCTGGGATTAAAGGCATGCACCATCACACCCAGCGATAATCTTGAATTCTTGATCCTTCTGCCTCCACCTCCTGAGTCCCAGGATGGCATGCATCACCACCCCAAACCAAGGATGACTAAACCCAGGACAGTGTATAGGGATGAATGCTGAGTCAACATTAGGTTGCTTTCGGAAAAATCAGCCATCAGGTTTATTAATCGGTGCTGTGTAAACATGAAACTAGGTGTTCTCTAAAAGGAGACTGGCAAAATGAAAGTTAACACTTAAAAACTGTTATTAGGGCTGGAGAGATGGCTTAGCAGTTAAGAACAGTGGCTACTCTTTCAGAGGACCTAGGTTTGGCTCCTAGTACCCACATGGCAGATAACAACCATCCTAACTCCAGTTCCAAGCGATCTGACACTCTCTTCTGATCTCTGTAGGTATTGAACAATACAGGTGCACTTACAAATGTGCAGGCAAAACATCATACAATTAAATAAATAAATTTTAAGTTTAAAAAAATTGGGGCTGGAGAGATGGTTCAGTGGTTAAGAGCACTGACTGCTCCTGAAAAGGACCCGGGTTCGATTCCCAGCACTCACATGGCAGCTACAAACTGTCCTTAACTCCAGTTCCAGGGGAATCTGAAGCCCTCTTCTGAGCTCCATGGCATTGTATGACATGGGTGCCCTCACATACATACAGACAATATACTCATACACATAAAAAAATATATAAATAGCTGGGCATGGTGGCGCTCGCCTTTAATCCCAGCACTTGGGAGGCAGAGGCAGGCGGATCTCTGAGGTTGAGGCCAGCCTGGGCTCCACAAT